TGCATGTGTTCTGTTAGTGTATTTTGGATCCTTTCTCTTTCCCAGTTTTGGGTACAGCCAGCAGCACAGAGAACTAGAGTTGGGAGGCATGGGCACGGCCAAAACGGGATGTCTTTTATCACTGTCTTTAGGACACTGATGTGGCAGCCTTAAGTACTGAGATTTGGCACACATTAAAACTACTTTTTTATTTTTAATTACCGCTACTGAAATTTAAGTTTAGACAGAAGATAATGCCATTTGTATATTGTCTTACATGTTTGTAATGACAGGGAAATGACAATTTTCCCTTCTAAACAGATTACGCATTATCATGGTCAGAGTCATTCAGCACCACATTCCCCAAGGTTGTAAACATGGATACAGAAAATACTGTGAGGGTACACATTATTGTAATGTTAATTATGGTCCTACAAAAGCACTTACACTCACCTTTGCAGGCAGTGCACATCCTCCAGAAAAAAAGAGAACCAGCCACTAAATTGGCTGAGTTTAGTGCTGAAACCTTACATGGGCCACAGTAACCAGTAACTGCTAATACCTGACCTCCATTCAAATGCCTCTGCTTCAGCCGCACTGTTTAATTTCAAAACTTCATCTCTTCATCCTTACAGTTTATCTAGCATTACAGTGACTCTTTTCATATCCTATATTATGGCTGAGCAATTCAATGGCACGTAAATTCCTTACATTTCTCTTCCGCGGCCTTCATCACTAATTGCCGATCGATACTTTCCAGACCTCACTGAGGAGATATTTACATTTTTCCTTCAACACCATTGCCAAAGAAAGGCAGGGAGATGGGCTATAGCTGCTGGAAAAGGCACTCCAGGTCTGTTCAAAACATGCTCTCAGCTCTGCCAAAGTGCTCCAGCAGGTGTCTCCAAGTATTGAATGCACCTAATTCTGAACAGTCAGAGTGCTTGTAGGCTTTTCAGTGGCTAAAACCAGCTCTAGGGTGCACGGCTAAAACTGCACTGGTTTGTATCTTAACTCTGTATTTCTCATTTTCCCAAAAGCCAAGGCTTAAAATATTTTTTACTTTAGAATTTTCAGAAGTTTGCTGAAATTGATATTCAGTAGGAGAACAAGATTTAGGTGACCTGGAAATAACATACTCCCCCCCCCCAGCCCTCTCATATAAGAGAACTATATTCTGTAATACAAAATAAACCAGATGATTGTAAAAGTTATGTTTTGGGTATACAATCATTATAATCTCAGTATCAGTGCTCCCCCCAAAACCATCATATAATAGGCCTTAACAATTCTATTTATTATAATGCCAGTCAGATTCATATAAACAAAAGCCCAGTATACATGCGGAACAGGGACATTCTTACCTGTTATCAAATATACATTACTCTATATAGATTTCAGGCCACATGAGTCACCTCAATTCAAGACATTTATAAATATTCAATAAAAGAAACAAATAAATACAATGCTGGTAAGAGCACCTGCAGAAGAGCTTAGAAGAGGGAGAACTAACATTGCTCACTGCAAGTTTCTTCCATTTGCACTACAGCTTGAACTATGCAGGATGTGCATGGTGGCTAGGAGAGCGGCTTACAATTACTTGGCACAATCCAAGGTACTTATTATATGCTGACTGCATAATTTAAAATTATTACCATATTGCTAATCATGTAACATACATTGGAGAGAAAAAAGTGACTTTCTCACCAAATTCTGAATTTCTACCATATTGCTACAAATAACTACTACAATATTTAATTCCATAAGTAAGGAAATGTGGGCAGAAACTCCTGCTTACAGGTTGAGTTTACAACATCAAAATTTCAACAACTCCTCTACTCAGGGAAAATTAATAATAGTGTATCCCACTGGAAGGTACTAAGTATCTTTAAAATAGTTAAGTGATTTGCTTTCTTTTAATTACTTCCTGCCAGTATCCATAATTCTCTCTAAATGTTCAAAACAAACTTAAAATCCAATATAAAATTGATATTGTTTTTATATCATGAAAAAAGAAAGATTAATGACATATTTCAGTAATCTAGTAATAACTGGCTTCTTTCATTGTTCAAGTGGTATGTAATCCTCAGCGGATCTTAGATGTAGGTTAAAAAAGGTATTTAATGCCTGCTTTTCGGTTGCCAAGGTCAAACATCACTTAGCATGTATAGGGAAAAAGGAAACATCTGTTGGAATAATTTATTTGACTAACACAGAGGGTAGGACTAAAATTCACTTATTTCTTTGGTCTGATACTGAATTTCAGTGAAACAATACAGGTATTTGTTCAGTTTGACAAAATTTCCTTGCTTTATATGTGGTCATATTTATGCATATCCCTAATTACTGGAACTGGCAAGGGAATACTGTGATTTGTCATTATTTCATATCTGCATACACTCTGAGAATGAATATTTCTGTATTTTGAGTTATTTTTTGCCTTTCTAGTGTCAAAAGGGATTTCAACAGGGCCAGGATTGTACTCCAGCTTTTTAATACTGGGGAAATTTTTGTCAAGCAAAGCAGCTCAACAATTGGACAGCTTTTTTAACACAGTAGACTAGAATGAGAATGCTTTATCTCAAAGGAGAAAGCAGAAGATCTTACACTGAAGAAAACAACTTTTTCTTCACTGCTGCACACGCATGTTCCATCCTTTATTAGGACTAAGGGGAATTGCAAATGAAAAGCAAAACTGGGAGGAGTGGCTGACACACCAGACGGCTGTGCTGCCATTCAGCGAGACCTGGACAGGCTGGAGAGCTGGGCGAGGAGAAATTTAATGAAATACAACAAGGGCAAGTGTAGAGTCTTGCATGTGGGAAAGAACAACCCCATGTACCAGTACAGGTCGGGGACTGAGCTGTTAGAGAGCAGTGTAGGGGAAAAGGACCTGGGGGTCCTGGTGGGCAGCAGGATGACCATGAGCCAGCAATGTGCCCTCGTGGCCAAGAAGGCCAATGGCATCCTGGGCTGTATTAGAAGGGGTGTGGTCAGTAGGTCGAGAGAGGTTCTCCTCCCCCTCTACTCTGCCCTGGTGAGACCCCATCTGGAATAGTGTGCCCAGTTCTGGGCCCCTCAGTTCAAGAAGGACAGGGAACTGCTTGACAGAGTCCAGCGCAGAGCCACAAAGGTGATTAAGGGGGTGGAACATCTCCCTTATGATGAAAGGCTGAGGGAGCTGGGTCTCTTTAGCTTGGAGAAGAGAAGGCTGAGGGGTGACTTCATTAATACTTATAAATATGTAAAGGGCGAGTGTCAGGAGGATGGAGCCAGGCTCTTCTCGGTGATGTCCAATGACAGGACAAGGTGCAAGTTGGAGCATAGGAGGTTCCACATTAACATAAGGAAAAACTTTTTCACTGTGAGGGTGACAGAGCACTGGAACAGGCTGCCCAGAGAGGTTGTGGAGTCTCCTTCTCTGGAGACATACAAAACTCACCTGGATGTGTTCCTGTGTGACCTATTGTAGGTGGTCCTGCTCTGGCAGGGGGGTTGGACTAGATGATTTTCGAGGTCCCTTCCAACTCCCAACATTCTGTGATTCTGTGATTCAGTCAGGCCCAAAAGACAGAATGCTAATAAAGATGAAATGCAAGCTGACAGAACACTGAGCATGCAGACAAACTCATTTTACAATGGAATTAAAAAGAAAAAAATGCATGTTTGTATGGCATGAGTATTAGCCTGTACCCCTCTAAATTTCACAAACCTGGACTATTCACTGCAAAATAATAGTGTAGTAGTACTATTTTGTGATAACTAGTGCATTGTTCCTGCAGTTCTTGTTTTTAAACTTCTCCACTGCTATGTGCCTCCTGCAGCAGGAAAAAAATTCAAGAATGGCACATACAGGATGAGTCCAGTTTCTTTTTAGGTCAGAATATATCCATTGTCATATGAAGAACAAGAATGATACTTTGGAAGAAAGCAGCTCTGTGATTTGTAGTTCTTCTTCCTGTCTCAAGGGAATGGACGCTATTTTTAACCAGAACAAATAATCAATAGGAACAAAACTGTTGGAATGGAAAGTGGCAAGTTGTCAAGAATAAAATAAATTAAATGTTGCTCAGTTAAATTTACAAAAATACTAATAAATTATGATTTGAATGTAAAATAAAACACTTCATTCAGTAATACAGTTACAAAAGAATACCTGTATCAGTTGAATTTATTTATTTATCTACAGCATTGCATAAATGATGATTTTTTTTTGTTGGCCAGTACAGCTGATAAATAATAAAACAGTTACGTTAAAAGTAGCAGTAAAAATCTGGAAGGAGTGATATTAGGGCCCAAATACTGAACTAAACTATTGCTAGAGGTAAAACTGGAAAAAATATGGGTCCCAAACTGCAGATCCCTGTGAGCAGATTTTATTTCCACAGACAGTTGCATTAGAGTTCACAAGGCTGATTATATGAGTAAGGAATCCATATGCTAAACTCTGAATTGTTTAAATTCATCTAATATCTAAACATCTGTAAGGCACACACATCAGATTTTCTTTTTTTATTATCTTGGTGGTGTTGAGCTGATGGTACAGGAAAATGCTAATCAAGTATATGATACACTGGAACATGTCTACTAGCAGCAAGCTATAATGATGAAAAGTGATTGTTTCTACTTCTGCGTATTACTGTGTGCACAGGATCAACCTTCAGCAATGTTTTTGACAGTAACTGTACTTCCAAGAATTAACTTTGATATTGTTTTCCTTTGTGGAAGACTACAGTCAAATGCATATGACAGAAATTAGTAACACTGGAGTAAAGTTATTACTATTAGCTAACCTACTGATTGATAATCAGAAACTGAAATCTATTATCCTGTCCTTCAAAGAAATAAAGACAATAAATATAACATGGTTAAAAAAAACCCTGAAACTGATTTCAGATTAAATTCCT